AAAGGTTAACGAAATATCCAGCAAAGGTCAGCATTCATAATAGGTTGACTATTTTATTAATAATAATAATAATTATTATTATTACTCAAAACAGAACCAGAATTATCCACATTTAAACCTCAAAGACTTAATTTAAGATATGAAGACCAAGATGTTGTGGCCTCTGGTAGAAGTGAGTTGACCTCGTTGTCGCAACTTGGTCTTGTTGTCAGGGCGACTATGCAGAACGCACCTAGTTCGAAGTCGTCTGCCATAGTAGTTGTTATGATTCCCAGCATCAGACCGTGGACTTGGTACATTCTCAAACACTCCGCCGACATCGTAGTCAACATCATCAGTCAGTTTTTTCATCCTCCGCGCCAAGCTACGAATTCGTCAAAGAGACAAGTGAAGTCAATCCCTCAACAAACGTTCTGCCGAAAGAGGAGTGATAGTGTAACCGTTTTCTTCAGAACGTTTGTCGAGGGATTCACTTCACTTGTCTCTTTGACGAGTTCGTAGCTTGGTGCGGAGAATGGCAAAACTCATTGATGATGTCGACTATGATGCCGGCGAAACGTTTGATTATGTTCCAAGTCCACTTTCTGATGCTGGGAATCATGACAACTACTATGGCAGACGACTTCGGATTAGGCGCGTTCTACTAAGTCGCCCTGGCAATAAGACCAAGTTACGATAACGAGGTCAACCCACTTCTCGAAGACTTAAGTTGAATTCATTGTGAGCACAATACAGCATCTTGGGCTTCCATTTTCCTACCATCTCTTCCAAGTAGTGTTTGATTTGATTTATCTCATTTTTCTTGTATCGAAGAGTGTTTTTGCTCTTAAGACTTCATTTTTTTGATATCGATGAAATTACCTCATTCTATGATTTTTAGCTTAATTTGGCGCTGAATAATCGGAGAAGGGTAGTTATTTTATTCTAAGCAGTCGCTAGCTGTTGCTGACTGGTTGCTCATGGAGGCAATATTAGATTTCTCTATTTTGGCTAGATTGTTTAAACTTGGTGTCAGAGTCGCTGACAATTTAAAATGCAAGTTTTATAAGGATTCGACTAACGACTCAGCACATGTGAAAATTTTGAGTAAATGTATCTTATAGCATCACTTCATTTTCAGGTAAGAGTCTGTGCTTATTTGATTTGGCACGGAAAATTGCCTCCATACATTTGATCATTGCGCCTTTCAACCTCCCCTGCAATCCTGCAATTTATCTCCATCTTCCATTCATTTGCGAAGCTCACTTTATTTTGACGAAGTTGCCTTCGTGAAGTGTTCATTCTTGTTTACGAATAAGATTAATTTTTCATAGTGCTTAATTATGCTAGGAACAAATTTCATCAACCGAACTAGTCCAAAGCTATGTGGTTTACTCATATTCTGGCAGTGAACCGAATTTTGGGGCTGCAGTTTATACGATAAGGCTTTGTCATGTATTGAGTTACAACTTGAATAAAACCTTATTTATTTTGACAAAAGTACCTTCGTGCTTGAAGAAAAAAGTAAAAGGTAAATCGCGAATCATTCGAGAGTAATAAGTTCACGCTTTGCTATATACACTGTAAAGAGTCTACAGGTACATGTACCCCGAATTTCAGCATAAAGTTAAAAACATACAAGCTTTTATTAATATATCAGAAGCTACTATAATCTCTACATTGAGTGAGTTGATCAGACTTTATAACCACCAATATACCTGGGGTCATTATAAATTGCCCTAAGATAGCTTCTTAAGATTTGACCTCTGTCCTTCATCCTGTAATCATAAGCACTTTCCTTGCATTCTTGTTATATCCATTCTTTCCAATTACAAGAGAGCATAAAAACTGAGAGCCCGCCCTCCAAAAGTGACGTTTGGATAACCAGCTGTCAAGTCAGTTTGCAATCCGTTGCGACATGAGGTGCCAGCACGGCTAATTAACCGCCGAAGCTTTCTCTGAAGCAAAGAAAAAGCTGCATGATCTAGATAAGGATAACACTGTATGCAATTAAGAAGGAAACGCGGAGTAAATTAAGGCGAATCAGTCACTAGAGCTATGGGGACAATTAAGCAGAATTATACAATTTCTAGATGAATCTATTTATGGCCAAATAAATGTAAAACGTTTTGGTGGAGATCTCCATCAGTAATCAACGAAGCAAACTTAGCAATATTTGTAAGAAATATGTATATAACAATAGTTAAAAGGAAAATTATATATATATATTTATTTTTATTTTTATTTATTTATTTATATATATAGTGATAGAGAAGAGAATATTGATACTAAGAAAGTATGTTGGACGGTTCTATCTATAGAAAACTGTTGTATTATTTAGATGAAGTTTTCGCGTTTACGACCACACTTAAGTAGCATGCAATGAGGAAGAATGAAATTTTATCAATTGGAGAATTATAAAAAATGGACTGTTCAGGTAAGAATCCCGCATAATATTAATTGCCCAAATAACATCGAGCAGTTTGACAGCGTTCCTATAGACATGAGTTAAAATGCATAAAATAAATAATTTTATATTCGACCATTGACATTAATTTGATGAGTCGACCTATCAAGCCACTATAAACAAAATCATTTACACCAAAAGCCCTTGTCTTTTGAGCCAAAATTTTATTTTGTATGCTTTCCATCGTTTTATTCATCCGGAACATTACTTGATTATCTCAATAGACTTCTTCAGTGAGCTGGAAACGATGAGCTCCACTTTCAACCTTTAGGCGAAATCGAGACATGCTAAGCTTCTCTGTCACAATTTCTATTAGGCTAAATTACACGTACATCTAAAGGGTTTTTATCACTGATTGTGTGCCTTTTTGAGGTTAGCAATACTAGGCTAACCTTGGTTTTACTCAATTATTCATAATGTTTCCATATTATCTTTCAGAATAGCCAAAACTGCATTAAATTCTTTTGAGAATGGTTGGTTACACAAATGTTTACTATTTTGATAGAAAATACTTCATTTTACAGCAACTCCTAATTTAAGTCTGGCATTTTGAATATTAGAGTCTTTATGAAGTCTATGAATAAAAACCTCGTCTGTCAGTATAGTCAGAAGCAAAAGTGGTTGTTCCCATTATGCCAGCTTCTAGGGTAGATCTCAGGATATCATTCCATCGCCGACTGACTAATGCGTCAACTGTAGTAAGCTCCAGATAGGATAGGCAAAGTTGACGAGGTGTAGACTAGCAAGAAGTGAAATTGTAGAAATTATAAATTCACCTGAAACATAGCTTTTGTCGGTCTTCTGTCGGCTCGGCAGGTTGCGCATGAAGAATGTTCGATATCGCACTAGCAACAAGAGTACCAGGGTGGTCAACGAGAGGAGGACAAAGACGGTTGTCAAGATGACGACGAGAGTACGATCTGAAATCGTCCGACCGGTTGGATTGTACGGACCAAGAGCCTGAATAGAGTAGTCGTCTGCAGTGCCTCCGTTAGAACTGGAGCCAAAGGTTAGTCCGTGTATGCCGGTTGTGGGTGGAGAGCCACCGATCGGATAGAAGAGATCAGATCCACTCAACCTGCTGGCCATAGAGTCGAGAGTGGAAGGACTTTGGCAAACAATTCGCACAATCATGGAACTATTCAAACGCTTTGGACGGCCCAGGTCGTAGGCTACAATTCGGAAGACGTAACTGCGTCGGCCATCAGCCGGAAGTTGTGGTACACTTTGGCGCAAGTAACAGATGCCAGCCGATCTGTCGATGGCAAATGGAAACTCCTCCACTGCCTCGGCGTCTTTGGCGTCTTCTACACTCTCGGGTTCCACAATTTCGGATCCGTCCCCAACATTCTGCAGGTCTGAAGCAGAAACTGATCGACTGATCAACTGTTCGGCAGAGCTGGAGTTACTCGTTTGTGCCAGCTTTTCGGATCCAGACTGAAAAGCTGATCGGAGTGAATTCACTTCATCACTGATCGTCGCATTTTCGGCATGACTTGCAAGACTCAGCTTTACGGCAACTGTATTCTGTCGACCAGTCGAGGCTGGCCGGCGTGGCAGATGAATCAGATCATATTCAATTGTTGCATTTTCTCCAAAGTCCACATCTTCAGCGCGGATGGTAAAAATGGTGTTTCCGGCAATCAGTTGAGCCGGAGTCAGAATGAACTCGGCGTGATTTTGAGGCGATATAATTCTGGGCGGATTGTCGTTCTGGTCGAGCACACTGACCAGCACAGTTGCAGTAGCTGTGAACTGTACCGAGTCTTCCTCGGGATGGATGGGATTTCTTGCCCCATTCGATTGTGTGAACCGGAGCAGACCGAGTGACGATCGAGTCTGTTTGGAGCGAGGATTGTCGATGGCAAGCACAATGAACTCGTAGTGGGCACGACGTTCTCGGTCGAGACGGCCTCTCAGTCTTATCAAACCGGTACGAGAATCGACTTGAAATCGACTGTTCACCTCTTTCAGTTCTGCCTGTAGGTCCTGGACACCGGACGACGAGGCTGTCATCTGTCTGGAAGGGAGGAGAGGGGAAGCGTTGCTGGCGGCAACCGACTCTGAGCGCAGATGTTGCAGCAGATCGACGCCCAAACGATAGACGATCTCACCGGCTGCCGCTTGATCGGCATCGGTCGCCCAGACACGACCGACCTGAGCCAAATCTACATTCTCCTCAACCTCAAAGTGGTAGTTGGTTTCCTGAAAGATCGGAGCGCAGTCATTCACGTCAGCCACCAGCAGACGTATTTCACTACTGCCCGTCAAACGAACAGCACTTCTGAGCTCCGGCCGATCTGATCGGTCAGAGTCGACGGCCAGAACCTGAAAGACAATTTGACTCGTCGTCTCCCGGTCAAATGGACGCACCACGTAGAGTGATCCGGTGACGGGATCAATCTCAACGCCGATTGGTGGAGCGCCCGACTCGGAGGTGAGCAGATATTCAATGGCGCCATTCGCAGAATCGTCGGGATCGCTGGCGTGCACTCGACCGAGGAAGTATCGGCTCAAGGCACCGGAAGCCGGAGTCTTCGAGGCACTCGCCGAAATACCATCTTGCAAAGCCGGTCTGTTCTCGGACACTGTGAAAGTGTACATATTTCGGTCGAATTTCGGCGGATTGTCATTCACGTCGACCAGCTCTAGTCTGACCTCGACGGTCGAGGTCAACTTGCCGCCCGACAACAACGGTTGAGTCGAGCTGTCCGAGCAGACGAGGTTGAATCTGACATGGACGGGTCGTCGTGGGCCAGTGGCTGCGTTGCCGGGGAGACCGAAAGCCGAGGTCGTCTGGCCGGTGGTAGCCAAGGCCTCGCGGTCCAGGGAGGTGATGGCCATCAGTTTGTACATTCGAGTGGCGCCAGACTCCGAGAGCAGACGCACTTCGGAGTTGTCCGTCGGCGAGATGCCCGGCGTCCAGGCCGTCACACCAGACAGGGGTATGGGATCGAGGGAGAAACGCGAATCATTCACGTGACACGAGATCTCACTGTCCGATCCGACGGCGTCAGGATCCGTCACCGTCACCTGGGCAACCATGACTCGGCCCGAGTTCTCGGTCAACTGGCCCCAGATGTACCGGGTTGCCGGGGCGAACCGGCCTGTCGTCTTGGCAGCAGACGACTCTTTTTGGTTGAGGTAGTAGATGAAGATCTCGGGCGGATGATCGTTGACGTCGACGAGTTGAAGGAGGATGGTGGCGCTGGCGGTGAGTTGAGGGACGCCCTGATCGACGGCTTCGATGCGGAACTCCAATTGCCCAAATGCCGACGAGCTCGACGGCAAATGTCCAGCTTCCGGTTCCACGGACAATTGGCGTCTGGCGGCC